TCTGGCATGATTTTCCTGCTCGATGCCCCGGCCGGCGCTGCCGCTGTCTGACGAAAAGGCGAAGCAAATCGAGGTGGGAACATTCACGTTTGACTTTAGTTGCTTGATTGACATCCTGCTCAAGACCCATCTGACTCATCGTCACTTGCCACATCATCCATCCCTCCTACACTTCTTCTCCACCATCCCGTATCCAAGCGGTTCCACCACACCCAGGACGCTGGACTGCTTGGTCGCGTCGACCGCGTCTATTTCCGCGCCGGAATTCATCGTCACCGTCTTAGATCGAACGGCACAGACTTTTTGAAGGTCTGCTGCGCCCGATTCGCCGTTGCGGATCCTTCTGCGTTGCAGGACACCTCATCCCGATCTGTGCTGTTGCTGAGGACGACGCTTCACACCCACAAGTCGTTCACATCCGGGCCTTCATCATGTCCCGCTTCTCTCCCGTCGCAGTGCTGCGCGGCAACGCCGCTTCCGCGCTGCACAAGAATGCGTCCATTCCGATGGCAGCGCCTCCAACGGCACCTCCAAGTGTCATCTCTTCCCTATACGAAGCCTTCATGACCGCTTCGCCGACCACGGTGGCCCTCTCCATCGCGTGTATCATCGCTACTGGCCTGCTCTACGAGCAGTACAGGTACCAAACCAAGAAGGCAGGTTTGCCCGGTCCGAAGTGGACCATTCCCATCATTGGCAAGTTTGCGGATTCCCTCAACCCTACCATGGAGAACTACATTAAGGGCTGGAACTCTGGACCCCTTAGCGTTGCCAGCGTCTTTCACATGTGAGCGTCTGCGCGAATCGAAGAAAGTCGTTTGAGCTCGGGATTGCACTGGGCGCGTTCAAGAGCCCATATACAAGCGCCTGCTCAGAAATTGCCTTCGAAGGATGTCAACGACTGACGCGATGCCACTCCTGTCATGCGTACAGCTTCATTGTGATTGCCTCATCCACCGAGCACACGCGGAAGATTTTGAACTCTCCGGCATTTACGGAGCCTTGCTTGGTTGCCAGTGCGAAGAAGGTCTTGTGCCATGACAATTGGTGCGTGTACCACCTTGACTGTACATATGAGTGCTGCGAGCTCACTGGTCTAGCCATTCTGCTATGCAGGGTCTTCTTGAACGGCAAGGTTCATGTCGACTACCGAAAAGGATTGAACACGTTGTTCACACGTAAAGCTCTTGGGTGCGTGAAAACGTTTGCTGATAGCTTTGTGAAAGGCAGTCTTGTTGTCTGTCTATGCCGGAATGCTGACCTGCGACCTCCCACTCCCACAGGATTTACCTCGGCATCCAGGAATCCATCTACAGAAGGCATTTCAAGGCATGGCTCGATGACCCCGACCCTAAGCCTCAGCCATACATGATGCAGTTCAGAGACTTGAACATGGAAACCTCCTTGCGCGTCTTCTGCGGAGACTACATTTCTGATGAAGGAGCCAAAGAAATTTCCGACAAGTACTGGCTCATCACTGTAGCCCTTGAGCTGGTCAACTTCCCTTTCGCCTTCCCCGGTACCAAGGTCTACAACGCTATCAAGGCACGCAAAGTCGCCATGAAATGGTTTGAACACACTGCCGCCGAGAGCAAGAAGAGGATGGCCGCCGGCGGAGAAGTCACTTGCTTGGCCGACGCTTGGATCAAAGCCATGGTCGAGGCCAGAGAGGGAGAGGCTGACAGCGAGTCTCGAAGAGTGCTTGTCAGGGACTACAGTGACAGGGAGATTGGGATGGTCCTGCTGAGCTTCCTCTTTGCATCTCAAGATGCCATGAGCAGCGGCTTGACGTACCTCTTCCAGCACGTCGCCGATCATCCAGAGGTGCTTCGCAAGGTGCGAGAGGAGCAGTACAATCTCAGAGGGCACGATGTCACTGCGCCTCTGGACCTCGACACCTTGGAGAAGATGGAGTACACCAGGGTCGTCGTCAAAGAGTCTTTGAGGCTCAAGCCTCCCGTCATTATGGTACCTTACTCTGCGCACCAAGATTTCAAGATCGACGAAGGATACACTGTGCCCAAAGGAAGCATGGTCATCCCTAGTTTCTGGAATGCCCTCCACGACCCTCAAGCTTACCCTGATCCTGATGCATTCATCCCGGAGAGGTGGCAGCAAGGACCCCAAAGCCCTGCGGAGAAGCACCCCAGAAACTGGCTCGTCTTCGGCTCTGGACCTCACAACTGCATCGGCCAGCAATACGCTCTGCTGCACCTCACAGCTGTCCTTGGATCTGCCAGCGTACTTATGAACTGGGAGCACGAGATTACGCCCAAGAGCGAGAAGGTCAGAGTGATTGCGACAATTTTCGTGAGTCCCGGATCGGGCCAGGCTTCCATCTTTTTGCAGCCAGCTAACGCTCTTCCCTACGCCCTTCTCGTTCGCGATTTTCAGCCACAAGATGGTGCGCGCATCAAGTTCACTCCGCGTGCTGCACCTGCTCCCGGAACTGCGCCTGCTATTGCCGCCGCAGCATGAGCATGAGCATGACCCGTTTCCCCATGACCAGCACCACGCTCGCAATCTCGCCCTCCACCCTTGTGAGAGCAGAACTATAGCCCCTGTATACCTGCGTCGGTGAGCCCTTGCTGGATTGCAGCCCAGCTGCAAGCGGCTCCACCACTAGCGCCAGCATCTCTTCGCCTCCGCAGCTCGCCCCTCCCGTTGAGGCCGTGCTATCCTTCTCCCTCTAGATTCTGTTTTGGATCTGCCACCTCGAATCTTCTTCAACAGCGCAAAGCAAGCTGGAGCCAATGCCTGCGCGGCAGTGCCAGCAGACATCCTCGTTGTCGAGAAAAGCAAATCTCATGAGATTCATATCTTGATACATGGCTCGCCGCCCACAAGACAGTCTCGTCGTTAGTGATGATCCGACATTCACGATT